AAAGCTGGTAGAGTTGGTAGAGTTGGTAGAAAGCTGGTAGAGTTGGTAGAAAGCTGGTAGAGTTTGTAGAGTTGGTAGAAAGCTGGTAGAGTTGGTAGAGTTGGTAGGAAGCTGGTAGAGTTCCAGTCCAAGTCCAAGGCCTGAGAACCAGGGGAGCCAATGCTGTAAGTTCTAGTCTGAGTCTAAAGGTCCGAGAACTAGAAGTGCTGAGAAGTCAGAGATTCCAGCTCCAGCAGAGAATGAGCTCGCCTTCCTCTGCCTTTTTTCTATTCTGGCCCTCAGCAGATTGGATGATGCCCATCTGCATTGGTGAGGGCGATTTTTACTCCATCTACCGGTTCAGATGAGAATCTCTTCCAGAAACACCCTCACAGACACACCCTGAAATAATACCCAACCAGCCCTCTGGGCATCCCTTCATCCAGTAAAGTTGACATGTAAAATTACATGGGAAAATCACAGATTTTCATATCCTTTCATATCTCACAAGGTTATTTCGTAAAAAGATAAACTCTGTTTTCTATGACAGTGTTCTGTGCACTTCAAGCATTGTGTTTAATACTCTAAATCTGGGATGCAGGGTGATATTTGTCCCAGTTCTCTTTCTCTCTCATTCCCCAACCCCCTTCCCTATTTATGACGCACAAAATTGCCCTTGCCTTGCCCAGTGGAAGAGGGGAGTTTCCTTCTTCTTCCGTGGGTTTCTGAATCACTCTACATGCCACCAGCTAGCATGAAGTCTCTCCAAGCACGTAGAGAACCTGGAATTCATTCCAATGGAAATGCAGAACAGTTATTTGAACAATGGGCTCCCCTTCTATTACGGCTCTTGTGAAGAGCTGGGCTTGGTGGGCCATCCAGCAGAATGATTCATCTTGGAGAAAAAGCTTCAAGCAGAATATTTAAAATACTTCCATTTTGCCTTTCAAGGATGAGTATCTCTAAACTTTTAATGCAACAATACCCTTTTGTTTTTAAGAAGCTCGTTTCTGGGTAGTATGATCTGTTGGAATCACTTCTCTGGCAGTGAAAAATATAGTAATCTTGGCAGTAGTGTCCAATTTGTCATTAGTTTGCTCAGCTTCCCCTTGGCCTCTATGAGACCCAGGTGCAGACTTACTTCTCCAAACCTCATGTCCTCACATATTTGAAAGTGTTTATGTGGGTGGCAACCATGATGTATATTTAAAGTAGAAAAAAGTAGCTTACACACATTTCTTGGGGGAAGGGGAAGAGAGCCTGAAAAATGAGCATGCTCCCTAGCTTTTCAAAATCTGGGTCAGTGATCATAACTGTAACTAATTCTTTGGTGAATTCGGGTGGACTTATAAGAAGATACATTTTTAACATTTCAGGGTTTTTTCCAAGCTCCCTGTTTATTGTATCTAATTATGGCCACAGAGCTGTTATCTGCTATAGTGTTCTCATATACTAAGAAGTCAGATGCATTCCACTGTAATTGATTTGTCAATAGGTGTGCTCACTCCTGTCAGAGAAAGCAGTCCATATACCTTTCAGAACCCAACGAATCACAGGAAAACACATTTCCACCGAGTCTTAGTCCGTTTCTTCCAACGGCAGACAGCTTTCTGGAGAGTGTATGAGGAGCTGCCGTGGCACATGAAAATGAGCGGCTCCTGGGGGGACTTGTGCAGCTTCCTCTCAAGCCCCAGGTAAGGCTTGTCCTTTCTATACGGTGGCATTCGAGCAGATCTCCTTCCTTTGCTAAGCACTGTGCTGACATGCCCACGTTTCCCTTAAGCAGGGCACATTCATTCACTTACTTGGTCAACCACCTGTTCATTCCTTCGGATGGGCCCCTCATTTGGCATCCGCTTCTGTGGCTGACGGATTCCTAGTGTCGCTCCGTTTGATCATCTGGCTCTCAGAGTGTTCCCTTGCCTGCCCTTCTTGACTCCACGGGGATTCCTGTCAAAGTTTGGAGGATTACAGAGACAGGAGGGCTTGTAGATGGGCTAGGATAAAGGACTGACCACATTCTCCTGCTGGACCCTGCCTTCCCTTTCTTTCTTTTCCCTCCTCTCTACTCCTCTCTGTCCCCCCCCACCTTCCTTCTTGTCCTCTTATGTACCCCTTGGCAAACATGTATCATTGACTCACTCTGAATCCCAGCTCTTGTAGGCCCTGGGGATGCAGGTGGGAATGAGACGCAGCTCTATCTAGCAGGGAGCATGTGGAGCCAGAGAAGAGCTACACATGGGGGTCACTGCTTCACTAGAGCAAAGACTCAGAGCTAGCAAGCTTGGGAGAGGGAGGGGCTTGCTCTGTGTGGTGGATTCGGGGAGCCTGCCTGGAGGAGGCGGCCTCATGGACAGATAAGTGGCAATGGCTTTGACTCCTTAAGAGTGACAGGCTCACATTTATCTGGTGACCTACCAAAGTCATAGTAGTTAAGGAGTTTATGAATAGGCTGATGGAATGGGGCAAACGGAAGAATAGCTTCCTTCAAGACACGAAATACTAAAATGACTTACATTAATTCTTTGTGTTGCAAGTATCACAGATTTTATATCAAAGATCCAAAACCCAAGCTTCTGGACAGGGCTGCACCTCATCCACTACTGGAATGTGTTGTCAGAAGTTGGATACGATGCTGCTGGGGCCTATTTATTCACAGTGGCCAAGATTAAAGCTGATAAGTGCCATAAAGTGAAGAAGAGACATACCCTCTCAGGTACAGTGAGTCGCTATGGTGGAATAGTCTGTTTTGCTGGGATGTAACGTGGCCAAGAGTTACTATTCTCCTGTTTCCCCACAGAATTCTGGTCATTCCAGCAGACCTCTCTGAGCACTCCTACCTACCACTTAAGCCAACAGTTTCCAGAGATAGGAAATTGAGAAAAAGCGTTAGGGTTTTGGTTTTTTGTTTTTTTTTTTTAATATTTTACTTATTCATTTGACAGAGACAGAGACAATGAGACAGGGAACACAAGCAGGGGGAGTGGGAGAGGGAGAAGCAGGCTTCCTGCAGAGCAGGGAGCCCGATGCGGGGCTTGATCCCAGGACCCCGGGACCATGACCTGAGCCAGAGGCAGACGCCTAACGACTGAGCCCCGGAAAAGTGTTAGCTTTGAGATGGCTCCTCTTTCTCCCTTGCTGTGGCGGTTTTCCGAGGCTCCATCCCTCACATTCTTCCTCTATTTTCTCAGGGCCTCAACCGCATTCCTAGCATCTTCCTCCGCCTTCTGTAGTTCCAGACTTGACCTCCTTTTGGAGCGTCTGCACATGTGCCCTGCTTCCCGAGGGCCACGGGCACTGTTGTTGCTCCATCGACGGCTTTCCCAAGTGACCAGCTGACAGTTCAAACGAAATAGATGCAAGCCCTGGATCATTTCAGATGTTCCCTCCGCACTTATGCTGCTTTCTGTGCTCCCTCTGTCTGCTCACAGTGCCCCAACTCCCCCCGCCCCCCGGGGCCCCTCACTCCATCCTGGAGACACACAATTATTGTCAAGGAGGGCCCCCATCTGAGTTGGAACAGCTGTCCTTTGACGTGCTGCCTAATGGCTTGGATTTGGACAGCACTCTGGTCAGTGTTTCTTCCCTTTGTTCTCCATAGTAGGCCCCCTTGCCTGCGTCTCTTTCTCCCTGTATTTCCTGGCTTCTTAAAACAGTAATAACATTCATTCGTTCTTTCAACAAATAGTAACTGCGCACCTTCCCTGGGCCCTGGACTCACTAGGCGTTGCTGATATATCGGTGAACGAGGCCAACTCATTCAAAACTAGTTCAAAACTGAAGCCTTGCTCCCATGGTTTTACCACTAGTGATCATAAGAACAGATTCTGAGCATTTGTCATGTGCCAGGCTCTAAGTTAAATACTTCTTGATATGTATTTTGTTTAATTCTAATAAAATCTCTATAGTATGACTAATATCTTGGTTGAAACTAAGGAAACTGAGTCTCAGAGAGGTGAAGTAAGCTGCCCAAGATGTCCCAGATAGTTAGGGATGGATTTGGACTATGTTGTTCCTGCATCCCTTTGAGTCCTTAGCCATGTAGTCTTTACCTGTATTCTTTTTTTAAAAAAAATATTTTATTTATTTATTTACTTGAGAGATATTGAGAAAGAGAGAGAGAGAGAGAGAGAGAGAGAGAGAGAGCACAGGTGGAGGGAGGGGCAGAGGGCAAAGGAGAGAGAATCTCAAGCTGACTCCATGCTGAGCACGGAGCCTGATGCAGGGCTCAGTCTCTTGACCCTGAGATCATGAGCTGAGCCAAAATCAAGAGTCAGATGCTTAACTGACTGAGCCCCCCCCGGCACCCTGTCGATATTCTTACTACCATGTATGAATTATGTAATTTTGGAATTTCTTCAATTCACTAATCCTCCGAGTGGTAGGACCCAAGCGATACTCTGAGGATTCCAGTGTGTTGAATAAAGCCAGGATGCATCTGGAATTGTATCGGTGCTTAGGGATGTAGAGTGTGGGAAGGAGATAGGGGGCGGGAGATGGTGCGGGGAGAGCACTGTGTGTCATAGGAAGCTGGCAGCTAACCTACAGAAGATGAGATCTCTGGGTGGGGGTGAGTGTCCTTCCTGATGATGCCATGCTGCTTGTCATAACGTGGTTGTTATGGTGATGGAAAGGGCTGGGGGCTGGGGGCTGACAGTGGGAGGAAATCACCTAACATTTCAGTATGTAAGGATTTTCTGGATGTAAATGAGCCTAATTCAGAATGTGTCCCTTTGAATTAGGCTGGAGAATCGGTAGGGCTCTCTGTGATACTGCAAACATGCTGTTCGTATGATCATCTGCTGGTTAGTCTCGGCTCACTCTGGGTCCTGGGGGGCTCCTTAGCAGGGAGTCCTGGCCTCCATCACTGCCTTTGACACCTTCCATCTTCCTCACCCCTCATCCCTCACATCCCGTCACAGCCCAAAAAAAGTAGATTTTACTTCCATCCAGCCTCTCACATCCTCTCTGTCCTGGCCTCCAGACCCTCGTTCCCTCTGTCTGATCAGTTCTTCATAAAGCAAAGCTGTGATCAAGTCACCCTGCGCGTTGCTGCTGTCTGCCTTCATGTCTTAATCTCCACCTTGGCTGGCAGAGTCAGCTCATGGCCATCTGGGGGGGCGGTGTGTGGGGGGCTTCCTGAAGTCCCTCCGGGACTGTGTAGGTTCACTTTTCCCCCTTTTGGATTGCTGAATGTAGAAGCCACAAGACCAATGACTTGTTACCAAAGCAATAGAAGATTCATTGGAACATTCCTGCAAGATAGCGGGAATCCTGTATAATAGTCCCAGGAGGCATTCCAGTGGTCTGGTTGGCTGTCCGGGCCCCCCAAACATTGTTTTTCCTACCGTGCTTGTGTAGCCACACACAGCCCAGAGGCAATGGATCCTCCTAGGGTGCTGATGGGGACAATACCCTTAAACTGGAATGTTCTTTCAAAGGGGTTTTTGAGAAATCCTGTTTTATCGTCTGCAGTGACCGGGGTTGCTTTGCCAATTCAGCCCTGCCCTCCCTTCTAATAAAGAGGTCTGGACGGGCGGGCTTGTAAATGTTTACCACTAATGGCCTGAATCAATTCAGCCGTGTTTGCTGAGTTGGTGCCGCAGCCCACAGGACAGACAGGGTTCCTGCCTTGCTGGAGCGGATGGTGGAGTGTAAAACAGACACTCCTGAGAAGTTCAGCCGGAAGGAGCGGGACACCGTGGTGGCACGGAGCCTGGAGCAGGACCTTGACGAAGTGACATTTCATCTGAGACTTGGAGGATGAGTGAGAGCTCGTGGGACAAAGGGCTGAGGGGACAGCACGTTTGAGGACCGTGAGTCGGGGGGAGTGACGGCCCTGAAGAACGGCTACAAGAGAGCCTGCGCAGGCTCATCTGCCTGACGGGGGAGTAGGCGGGGGAGGGGAGGAGTGTGTAAGGTCTCTTCCTGCTCCAGGGGCTGTGCTCCAGCTCAGGACCCGAACGCATGCCCCGCCCGGCTTAGGGCGCCAGCTGCCGGACTCTGTGGTTTGGCGCCCCCTGGTGGCTGTGATGAGAACCAGAACCCTAACTTGTTAGGTTGGTGGAAAAGATGCTCAGTTCTGTGTCTGGAAATCGCTTCTCCCCAAGTGCTTCCCGCCTGCCCACTTGCCGCCTGGGTTTGCCCCTCCTGGCGGGATGCGTCTGGGCAAGTTACATCTCTGACTGATGGCCAGTAGGGAGGACATGGAGCCTACAGGACAACTTCGATGGGGATGGGCCAATTTTTATAGATTATCTGTGACATGATAAGCTTGGTTTTGACTGGAGTCTTAGGCCACATCAAAGTGAAGAAAATCCATTTCTGGCTGCACTTGCACTTTTAGGCTAAGTCAAACACCAGAAGAGACAGACTATAAACAGATGTGGCAGAAGGATGGGTCCCAGCATGGCTCCATCTTGACGGATGACTGGCTACCCTCCAGGTGGCAGACGTGGTGGGTTGGGGAGAATCATTTTGCTTTTAAGGGGCAGGCTTTCTTACTAGAGCAAAGGTAAATGCATTACAGTACAGGATCTTGCCTGAAGGTTGTAGTAAATGAGACAGTATCCGCTTTTCATAACTAACATATGATGTTTTGCCCTTGATACCTTTGGAAACTTCTAAATATTTTAGATAAATGGAACAAAATGGTTTATTAAAAACAATTTTATTTTATTTAAAAAATTTTTAGAGATTTTTATTTATTTGACAGAGAGAGAGAGAGAGAGAGAGAGAGAGAGAGAGGATAAGCAGGGGGAGGGGCAGAGGGAGAGGGAGAAGCAGGCTCCCTGCGGAGCAGGGAGCCCAACTCAGGGCTCAATCCCAGGATCCCAGGATCATGACCTGAGCTGAAGGCAGACACTTAACTGACAGAGCCATCCAGGAGCCCTGTTAAAAATAGCTCTACAGAAAAATTAAAAGAACAAAAGATGCAATTTTCAAGGGCCACAGAAAATATGAAATATCTAAGAATAAATAACAAGAATGTGTAGGATCTTTATTTTTATAAAACAGCTTTAGAATTATAGAAAATAAAATTCTCGTATATAGGCAGATATACCATATTCTTGGATGGGGCAACTCAAGGTTGTAAAGTTATCAGTTCTTCCACAATTGACTTATGTATATAAAACAATTCTAAATGAAATCCCAGTGTGATTAAAACATTTCTAAATTTTCAAAATGATTTTAAATTTTTGGAGAAAAAATATCGGAGAGTAAGAGTTTAAAAAATGAGAACAATTTGAGTATCAACTTATTTAAACATGTTACGAAGCTATAATAATTTAAAAAATACTACTGGGAGCAAAAATAGCTCAGTGGAATGAAATAGAAGGCTCAGCTATAGACTCAGCTATAAATATAAAAAATTAGGGGCACCTGGGTGGCTCAGTCGGTTAAGCATCTTCCTTGGGATCAGGTCATGATCCCTGAGGTCCTGGGATTGAGCCCCACGTTGGGCTCCCTGCTTGGTGGGGAATCTACATTTCCCTTGGCCCCTCCCCTGGCTCATGCTCGCTCTCTCTCTCTCCCCCTCAAATAAATAAATAAATAAATAAATAAATAAATAAATAAATAAAAAGTGATAGAAGCTTTTCAGATAAGGAGGATCATGGAATATATGGTGCTGTGATAATGGTTCATTATTTGGTAAAGTTAAGTTACCTGAACCATTACACCAGAATATATTCCAGAATAATTAGAGTTAAGAGT